GGGGCTGAATAATTTTGCATGCCCAATTTTTCAGTTTTTTATTTGTTAAAAAAGTTTGAAATATCCAATAAATTTCGTTCCACTTCATGATTGTGTCCCACTTGTTGTTGATTCTTCACAAAAAATTACAGTTTTATATCTTTATGTTTGAAGCCTGAAATGTGGCAAAAGGTCGCAAAGTTCAAGGGGGCCGAATACTTTCGCAAGGCACTGTATATAAACAAAAGGCAATAGGCAGATTCAGTTTTTAAACTTAGCTTGAGTTTGGAAACAAAAATCAAATCAAATTTATTTATATAGCACTTTAAAACAACATCCAGCTGACCAAAGTACTTTACATGGCAAAATAAAATGACAATAAATAACTAAAATAAAGTAAATAAAATCAGTGCAAGTGCAAATAAAAATAAAACGGCACAATAACAAATACATATAACATACGTTCAATAAATAAATAAACAAACAAATAAATAAAAAAAACACAGTGGTTTCAGAAGAGCTGAGATCACGCTTCCTAAAGCTGGGGACAGAACGATTTGGAGTGGGGCGTACTGATTGGACCAAGTCAGGCCCAGTCTAGGTCCATCATTGTAGACAGTTGGCAGATGAAATCATGTAGTTTGGACCATATAAAGATTAAAATCTTAATCCAGTTACTGCCAGTCATTCTTATAAAGATTGTTTTAAACGTTTATACTTGCGACTGACAATGTCTTGCACATGTCGCCCAAGGGAAACATACTGGGAATGTACTTGAAACATGAGGACTGAATAATTGAAGTGTAGAATCTGTCATGACTTCAACTACAAGTGATTGGCAGAATGCAAAAAAAACCACAGAAGGTGGTCCGAATCATATTTAACAGGTATAATTCATTCTGACTTTTTTTTTTGTTCCCAAAGAGTTTTTTAAAATGTTATTTTAACAAAGAGAACATATTCTATTATACAATACTTACACGTACTTCCCTGCTAACATTCACAAACAACTCCAGGTTGAGCCTCTCTGGCTGAGTTGGCCTTAAAGGAAAGGAAAGGGAACGCTCCAGGATCCACAAAAAAATAAATGATTAACAATAAACACAATCTAACGTCTAAATATTGTATACAAAATGTATTTTAAACCTGCTGATGCAAGAGAAAGAACGACTTATGTGTTTACTTGAAATGTAGTGTAGTTTAATATGCAAAGGTATTTCTCCAGCTATAAGCCAGTGCTGCTCCAGAGTCTTCTGAAGACATCAGAATCTTGGCTCACTGTGACCCTAGCTGTGCAAGAGAGGTTTACACAGCTATTCAAGGTCATAACAATAAAATGCAAATTCCTCCATGGAGTGGACTTTCCATTGTTTTTAGCAAGCAAAATGTCAAACCAGAATACTTGAGAAGGGGTGAAACTTTATTCAATAAATAATAAATACTTTACCTTTAAGGAAAGACGTGTGATCTTTGTGTTGTCACTCTGTGTTACTGTGATCAGATCCCCAATGATATACACTGTTTACAGTTTAAAATGCATATCCATTCCTTTACCATTCACACACTATCGTATACATATACACTTGCACGGAGCGATATGGGTTATCTTCAGCTGTGACTCTTCTTTCTCTCATCCGTTTCCCGCTCTCCGGCGTTGTCTGTAATAGTCAGACCTCACAAATATCATACGGATTGCCTAAAAAAAAAAAAAAAAAAGTGCAATATCTTTTTTCCATGATAGGGAACAGACTGTTATGGTAATGCTTTGGGAGCAGAACAGTGAGAAACTTTGAGGCGTTCTTTCAGAGATTTGTCTGAAACGGTGAATAATTCTGCATAAATGGAAGGCAGAGAGCATCTACAAGGGAGTGAGAGAGACAAACTGAAGCGGCAATGGAGGGGTGAGGGGAGGGAGGATGGATCGGATCAAACAGCGTGGCGAACACGTTTGTGTGAACTCCCTGCACTGTGAGTGAAATGGGGAAGTTTGTGTGTTTTATGAGGAAAGTGACAGTGTGTGGAGAGAGAAAAGGAAAGATAGAGCGTGGTTGCTTACCTGGATGCTGTAGTTTAGGGCCACTGACTGGAACCTCTACATTATTCAGCAGACAGCCAGACTACGCTAAAACAGATTTATACCACTCTCCATAGCTCAATCTTTTTTGTTTTTGTGTACAGCTGTCTCTTATCTCTGCCTCAGTTTTTGTTTTGCTATCTTTGTTTGTGTACATCAGTCTGATTGAGTTTTGCTGCCTGTGCATATTTCCTTTTTCTATGTGTGTTTCTAGGGGTGTAAGGTGATAGAAACAGCTGACCAGGATCTGACAGACTTTACCAAGTGTCTTGAAGTCATGCTGAAGGAGATTGAGAAAAAGGAGTTGCAGGTAAACACCCACTGATCACCACACACATGCGGATGGTTTCATTTTCACATGGTTTTGAATAGTTTGGATAGTTCTGACATTTTGGGAAAATGCCTTACTCTCCTTTTTGCTGAGATGATTCTAAATTACTTGCAGGTGTGAATGTGTCTGTCTCTATGTATCATCTCTGTGATAGACTGGCAACCTGTGCAGGGGGTACCCCGCCTCACCCAGTGTCATCTGGAATTGGCTCCAGTCCCCCCCAGTGACCCTTTGAAGGATAAGCAGTTATAGCTGATGATTGACTTTCTTGCCAAGAATTATATGAGAAGATTAATAATACTCTCACAGCTTATGTTGGACTCAAAGTAGGGGTTATTTTACTTATTTTTATTAGACTAACTAGCAATAGTTGTAGCATTGGGTAGAACAAGTATTCTCTCCCAGCCTCAGAGTTTTGTGCCTGTAAGTAAGGCATTCAGTCCTCAGGTACTTGAGATGAGCTGTTCAGAGGACAGCAGTGTTGGACTGCTGCCAGATCCCAGGTGTGAATGTGTGTGGGTGTGAAAATTAAACAATGTGCTGCTGGAAAAGAACATGCATGTAATCCCTACAGAAATAAGTGTTGAAACATATCACTGGAATACCGTTAGCCACATTTACACCTACGCAAAAAAATGCAAAGTGTAATTGTGATTTGCCTGTTTTGAAATGAAGCACTTCATTTTTGTTGAGATCTTTTCAAAAATATAAAGCATTTCCCAACAACCTGATATCCAAAACTCTAAAATAAGCTGCCAGCCAGAGCGAAGCCCTGTGCTCAGCCAGCTGCTGCAGAGCCAGACACACACAGTGATCTGATGCAGAGATTGACTCAATTTCCATTCGGACTCTCAGAATGTCAGCTCCGTTGCATAGAGTTGTACATCACATGACAACAACCATGCAACATAAGAAACAGTATTTTTAAAGAATTTTAATAGCAATCATTGTTAACATGAGTAGTGTCATGACAAATGTGACTATCTTTCTATTTTAGCTGGCACGCTGAGTGTTGTTCCAATCAGCGCCGAGTGCCCCAATCACTTCACATCTCAAAGCTGATGAAAGACCATGGCGAAGACGCTTACGGACACACAAACATGCACTTCATCTTCATCTTGTATTCTCACACATTGCCACATCGTACGTTTTCCCTATGCTTTTTGGAGACAGGCTTTAGGAGAAGGTATACTTTTGTCCTTTCATGGGCTTTTTTTCTTGGGCTGGGGTAAAATTTACTTCGCCTTTGAACTGTTGCTGAGCATTAGTCCGGCTGTCTGCCTGTGAAAGATAGGTGCCTGGAAATAAGCTTTCTGGTTATGACTTTTGTGGTGAGGTGTAGGCTATTTAAAGCAGAACTAAATCTAATGATTTAATATCATGCCTTGTCATTTCTCTTCTGCTCACCTTCACTAATTTCCATTCTCGTGGCCCATTCCAATGAATTAACTACATGAATGAAATAATAACAGGGTGATTTGCAGATTACTGAGCATTGTGCTCCTGTTTAGGTTATTCGAGATTCAACATTTTAGCCCCTGGATGTTTTCCTCTACGCAGCTTAGCGCTCGATTTAAAGAATTTATCTTGCATTGTGTTTGGTGAAATTCCAAAGAATAGTATAAGAGGATTATGGTGGGTGGATGAGTATGTGTTTGTCTGTATAGGTGTGTTTGCATGTTTATGTCTCTGTGTGTGCAGTGAAACGTTAATCTGTGTGTGTCTGTATCTTGGGTGTGTTTGTGAAAGGTTACAGTTCTTTTGTGTGTGTGTATTCTGTAGCTGTTTATGTCTGTTTGTAATACACATGCAGTTTTCAACAAGTGCATACACAGTGTCTGGTGTGTGTGCACTGGTCTGTTTGTCTTCTAACAGCTCTGTCCTAGTTAGCTTCTCTCTGCACACTTCACTGCTGTGAGCACAGCAGCACCACTGGTTTCATTTTCTTCTCTCTTTCTCTGTTTATCTGTTCATCCTCACCTAATGGGTGCGAGTGTTTTGGTTGATCTCCAAGCCAGCGGAGCTCACTCCGGTTCCCCCAGCCAGTCAGTCTGCTTGGGGTTAACTAATGATGCACTGTGTTTAAGACTTCTTATAGGAAAGTCTGTGATAGCAAGATTTTCATTCCTTTATTTCATAACCACTCTTTCTTATGTGCACACACGCGCGCGCGCACACACACACACACACAGGGGAGTTTGTTTACCACATCTTGTTGTTTACAGTTTAGGAAATGCTTCTGCATGTGGGTGTGACAGCCAGATGTTGAAATAACCTTCATCTCAGAGCTCGGTTTTGCTTTAACATCTCCTGAGGCAGGGAGTTAGTTTTGGCACGTAAATAGTCTGGTCTTCTTATATGAGGAGGTCCAGCACAAGTTTTATAAAACTTGATAAAAAAAAATCCCTGTTGGGAAATTTTGGATGAATTTGAAGCAGTGGCAGGTTGTTGTGGAAATGGTAAATGAAGTGGAATGCAAATGAAAATGCATTTCCGAGTGGCTAACTGACGCTGCAGGAGCTTCCTGTGCTGTACTTTAAAATAGATTAATGCAGGCACATACATTTATACACAGAAAAACAACAACAAAACAGACATTTTTAATAGAGAAGAAAACCGCCCATACCCGGCTGCTGTTCTCCTAATGTTTAGCTGCAGAAGAAGCAATAATTGTCAACATCAGCAAAGGTAGATTAATTTTCCCTCTTAAATACTGTATGCAGTATGTAATTGAAGGGAGTGAGATAGAAGCATTTGGTTCACTTTGTGTGCTGGTGTGACTGTCAGGCCATCAGCCGGTGACAGCGCCTCTACCCTCTAAACTCTGTTGGGAGTTGAGGCTGTCAGCACTGGTGCCACACTGCTTGGAGACTTTGTATAAGGATATAACTGCTGAGAGCTGTAAATAAATACAGCATATTAACTGATGGTTCAAAGTTAAGAAGGATCTCTGCAGTTGCAAGAATTGGTATTAGTTTATCCACTTTCCTCACCTGATTTGACATGTTCACTGCTTTCATGCTTTTTCTTAAGTTTCTTCATTAAATTATAAGGTTGACAAGGTGAAGGTAATGTTTTCACTGACATTTGATAGACGGTTGATTTGTTCACAGCATAACTCAAAAAATAAAAAATGGATTTTGATATTTTTTTTTGGAGAGGTATTGGCCATTTGTGGATTTTGGTGCTGATTTAGATCATTATCTGGATCCTTCACCATTGTGAGAGAAGGCCAATTTCAGTAGTTTTGCTTTTAGCTTTACACATTACGCCTGCAGTGCTTGGACAAAATTTATTCTGAGACAACTAAGATGCAACTCTGCTGATTCAGTAGGATGTCAGCAGATCTGATGTATCTTCAAAAGCTACTTAGCTGAAGAAAGCAACCCCTACTGAAACTCTGATTCTTCACTTCTGTATAGTCATTATGGGTAAATCCAGATTCCTTAATTTGATTGTTCCATACTCGTTAATCCTCACTTGATGTAGATGTCATTTCAGTCCACCATTTTTAAGGACATTCCAAAGCTCTGGACTGCGAGGAGGCTACCTGGAGGAACCATCGTCCAATACGAGAGAGCATCTTTTGCAGAAGTGTTATATGTACCAACATTCACCTATCAGAAATCTGTTGCTGAATGGGGGACTTCTCTTGAAGGGTTAGATGAAAGGATGTCTCGTGTCTGTAAATGTTTAGTTCTTAAGTTTCTTAAGTTAGTTCCTAAGCTCCCTTCAGGCATGCACTCAATTCCGTTAATCTGACAGCATCTGAACGTGTCGGCTTCATGTGTGACTGAGCACCCTGGTCACTTGCTGAGTTGAGACAGAGGTCTTACTAGAGTGCACCAAGTAGCAATTACATATCACCTTCAACACCTCACACATACAAACCGAATGCAGTTGCATTAACAGTTATGCACTCTCAAGGCTGAAAAGAACCTGAAATACCCTTAGCCCAAATATTTCTTGCATACTGTGGCCCTCTCCATCATGGTCATGGTTATGTCTGAAAGAAGCCGCAACGTAAATATAGAACTATATCTGAAAGACAAAAAGCTGTTGCTTTAACAGACAAAGCTAGCAGTGTTACATATTCTGTCTGAAAAGGGTTTTGTTACACTCTGTCTTTCTAGGTGGATGCCATAGTGACTCTGGGTGGCCTGGCAGGCAGATTTGACCAGACCATGGCATCTATTGAGACACTCCATCACGCTTTGTCCATGACGCAACTGCCCCTGCTGATCATACAGGGAACTAGCCTGGCATTTCTCCTCAGATCTGTGAGTGCATCAGAAACACACAGTTCTTAGCCATGTCCAATGTGCATGGACACACTGTTCCCCACAATGCAGTGTTTTTCATTTAAACTTTCTCATTTGAGCTAGAAGCCAGATAGCTATTGTTTGTTTTATTCATTTTCTCATCCATCCATCCATCCATCCATCCATCCATTTTCCTCCACTTATCCGGAACCAGGTCGCGGGGGCAGCAGTCTAAGCAAAGATGCCCAGACTCCCTCTCTCCAGACACTTCCTCCAGCTCCTCTAGGGGAACTCGATGTGGAGGAGCAGCGGTTCTACTCTGAACTCCTCCTGGGTGACCGAGCTCCTCACCCTATCTCTAAGGGACCGCCCGGCCACCCTGCGGAGGAAGCTCATTTCGGCCGCCTGTATCCGGGATCTTGCCCTTTCGGTCATGACCCAAAGCTCATAACCATAGGTGAGAGTCAGAATGTAGACCGCCTTACAGCTCAGCTCCTTCTTCACCACGACGGACCGGTACATTGACCGCATTACTGCAGAAGCTGCACCGATCTGCCTGTCAATCTCCCGTTCCATCCTTCCCTCACTCGTGAACAAGACCCCAAGATACCTGAACTCCTCCACTTGAGGCAAGAACTCTCCACCAACCTGAAGGGAACAAGCCACCCAACCAATCACGGCCTCAGACTTGGAGGTGCTGATTCTCATCCCAGCCGCTTCACACTTGGCAGCAAACCGCCCCAGCGCACGCAGTGCAATTTTCTCAGTTGTTGCGAAATACAACTAAAAGTGAAGTTATAGCACATCTACTTGTAAAGAAAATGGTTGTTAAATCTGTACTTCAGTTTTTTTTTAACTATGATTCCTTTGTATTTCATTTTTTATGAATGTCTAAGTGGCTTATTTAGGCTTTACTGTATTTGTTTTTTAAGTTGCATACAAAAATTACACACGGAGGCAGACCTATACTAGACTAAAGTTCTTGTTCTTTGCTCTGTCTCCGACCATGTGTAATCACTCCTCTCCTATTCTTTTCCTTCATTTTTTGTTCTCTCTCTCTCAAATGTTTTTTCTTCCTCGCTCTGCTTTCACCTTGATTAGAGTATTGCACACCTTTTTTATGTTAGGTAATCACTTCAAGAATTCACATACACATTCACAATCACACTTCTCTGCTCTTGTGGTGCCCCAATTTGCTGTTGTGCATGAGAGATGCTCCCAATTGTTTTTCCTCGGTGCCAGCCACTTTCTCATGCTCCTCAGTTGATTGAGTTTACAAGTGGCTGAGCAGCTGCCATGAGGGACACACACTGCTCTCGTTTCCCCTTTGTTTCTTGTGTTGTTTATTTGTGAGATCTTTAGGACAAACAGCTGAGTGTTGCGCTTCCTGATGGCACCTTGTAATACGTTAAGTAAACTTTTCTCACATGCACTGCTCCTGTACCTCTTGTCATTATTCCAAAGGCGCGTTGTCATTTGCTACTTCATACCTCGACACCTCCAATTAATCTTACTTTAGTGAGGGTAAATTAAGCTCATTTGTCAATGCAGCTCCAATTCGCCAGCGACTAATGAACACAGACGCATGTACATGAAGGTGAACGCAACCTTCGAAAGTCCCAATGCTATTTGTTCAAGTTACATCTGTAACTGAAGTGTTTACAACATTTGCCAAATATCCACACCACCTGCATTCCACGCAGTCGTGGCTTCATTATGTTCTAAGAGTTGAAGATCCAGTCAGTATATGCACAGAGTTGTTCCTGTTCAGTACACAATCTTATATGCACACCCAAGAAATTAAGACCAGAGCTACTTTTCCAGTTTTGTACATTTTGTAAATTTGACAAGTGGGGATTATATCACCTGAAAATATAGCTTATATACACTACCAGTCAATAGTGTGGACACATTTTCCTGTTTAAATGAATAGAAAACATGTCAAAATGTCTGACTGGCAGTGTGCTCTTACATCTGCTTACAATTAAGATTTTGATTTGATTTATTCTTTCAAGCATGTAAAAACAGTTGATATGACAACACACATACACATAATCCAATATCAATTTGCTTATACCTAGTACATGCCTGTTTGTTTAAGATTTTGTTTCCCAGGTGTGGTGTCAAAATTTTATTCTGTTATCTTTGGAAAGTATGCATTAAATCTTGTGTTTTCTATAGCTGAAGCAGGGAATTGCATAGTTCTCTTCATCAAGTATGAGTAGGTGCACTGTAAGGACTGTGGGGTTGTTTATTCTGAGTCTCTACATGATAAGAAGATGTTTTAATCAGTCTAGGTCCCGAGGTGATGCTAAATTTACCCAATTTGGAGCTAAAGAAAAGAAGAACCTGCACTGAGTTAATCTGTTTTGTTTTTCTCTTGCTGTCTACTCTATTGAGTCTCAGCCAGAGGGCCAAGCCACATTTACTCAAATTAGTACCCCAGCCCCTGAAGAGAGCCTGCTCTCTTGTGTTATGAGACAGCAAATACACAGCGCTGCATCAGCCCGTCCTGTGCTATAAACCATTCTAGTGCACACACATCATGTCATACCTGTGAGCTTGTTTGGCTGATGCCCTTTTGAAAAGTGAAACTTGTCAGTGTAGGAGCCGATTTAAATGATTAAGTATGTTACATTCACTCATCCCAGCTTTTTCTGTGCCAGAGCAATTTGCCATCACCGTGGCATTCAGATATAAAATAACAATAGACATGAGTTTAAAAATTGACTCACTACATGTGAGGACAAAAATCAAGCCATTTAATTCAAGAATTCTCTGTTGACCTCTGTGGAAAAATTGTGCTGTACTGTGGATCATGGCAGGAGAATGAAACTATTTCTAAAGCTTTGAGTGTTCCCAGGAGCACAGTGAAGTGGAAGAAGTTTGGGACTAGAAGGACTCTACGGCCATCTTTTCAAACTCGCTAACTGGACAAAAGGAGCCTTGATTAGTTAGGTGACCAAGAACCCTACATTTTAACAGAGCTTGAAAGGTCCTGTGCAGGGATGGAGAACCTGCTGGAAGGATGAACATCTCTGTAGCTCCCCATCAATCAGGCCTTGGAAGCCACTTAGAGGAAGGTAGATAACAGCCTGTTTGGAGTTTGTCAAACAGCATTTTGAGAGATTTCAGATTTTGAAAAACACAAAGCATGCAAAGAGTGAAGGGGTCTGAATGTTTTCTGAAACCATGCATGTGTGTTGCACATGAACAAACATTCCTCATACACTCTCTCACCCTTGTGCAAAGAGACTGTATCTGTGTATAGAAAACAACCTCAGGAATGTTTACTGAACATCACAAGTGCCAAAGCTCAGAATTTTCACATCATTCCTTCCCTCTGGCTCCACAGCTCCAAGAAGCCAGACTCTACTTAAAACAGTCACACTTTTTAGTTTTTCAAACTCTTAATTGCCTTTCTTTGCTGTCTTCGTTTACATGTTTATGATCAGTTTTGATCATCTGTGTGGTTTATAATATTTAATTATGAAATTTTGTTTCTGATTGCTTTCGAGCTGTGAGTACAATGTAAAGAGAAATTTTATTTTGATCTTTTTAGATTTGAGCATCAGCCTTTATCATAGCCAGTCTATTCAGAGCAAATTCATTATTCAGGCTGAAGAATCTGATGCTTTCTTTTACCTACACTATGCAATGCTATTTTTTTTCTACCTGCCTTGGTCTCTCAAAGGGATACTGGGACATTTTGAAATATTGTTCATGTTTATTTTGTCTGTACATCACTGCATAAAAACACCCCACTGTACCTCAAACATTTCTTTAGAGACACTCTTGGAAAAGACTTTTCACTGTCAACCATCCTTCCTATTGCTGATAGATACTGTTCTTTTTATAAGATAACAAAATACACTGTAACATTCACTGCCCATTGACTTCAAGTGGGGTGTTCATATAACAGTACTACCAGTATTCAAGTAAAACACATGTTGTTAGTACAGTTGCGGCCTCAGTAAAATCGACTAAAATTCAAAATGGCAAAGGTATCATTTTTAAGTTTGGATACTGAAAATGGGTTGCAGCTTTGACATGAGCAGTCATTTATTTTAATGAGTCTTGGTCCCTTGGCAGAGAAGCTAGGTGCCACAGTTTAAAATGTCTTGCACCACAATTATTTTCTTCTTTCAGATTTTCTTTTCTCATTTTTCTCCACACGTCATCAACTCTGGTATTCACACATATACACACAGACCAACACTTCATTTTTTTTCCTCTCATGCTGTGTGTCAGCAGGGCAGCCACAGACTGAGGGTGAACACAGGCTTGGAGGGAGACTGGTGCGGTCTCATTCCAGTGGGTGGACCGTGCCAAACAATCACCACTGGACTCAAATGGAATTTGAGTGAGTTGCATTTTTTTCATTTCTAGCATTTGAATAATGATCCACAAAAAACTAAACTAATTCATTTCATTTCGTTAAAAAAGAAATGTCTAGATTCTGAATATGACAGTTGCCCTGCAAAAAAAAGAGAAAAAATTCCGTGTGGTGAGGAGAAAGGAAAACCATTGCCTCACTTTATTTTGCAGGTGAAATTGTCAAACGATTAAGATGCACGTTGGAAGATTGCTAGTGTATGTAGCATGAAGATAAATGTGGAGGTGAAGAATTTTTAAATTTTCTTGCAGAGGTTGTGAGAATTTCTGCTGATATCACTGGGGGATCTGACAAAGTGCAGAACAGAGCAGCTCCCGTCCCTACATATTTATATTAGCTGCCAGTATAGCAAACCAACAGAAACAACTTCCAATGAATTTTTAACATGTGAAACAAGACATAAGCCAGTATAGACGCTTAATGTGCTTCAGTTAAATGAAGCTGCGGTTTAAGCAAGGTTTGTACATTGAAGACATACATGCCACAGTAAGCTTTTTATATTCTTGAATACTGTGTGGAAGTCCAATCAGACAGCCGTCTGAGGACCCCTGTGGTCTTACCCCACTCTAAGCCTTATGGCCAGCTGTGTTCTTAATGAGTTGGCACAGACCAAACTTCCACCCGTACAGCAACTTAGTACACAGAGTGACCTGGGCCTTGTGTCAATGGGGTTGCATAACGTGATTGCTTCTTGGTAGGTGTCCACTCTGTGTCTGTGTGTGCATGTGTATGATTCGATACCCTTGAGTGAGCATGCTTCTGTATCTGTGCTTGTTGGAACATGTCTGTATGTGTGTTTGAATATGCCACTGTCTGTGCACTTCATTAACTTGCTTTTGTGTGTGTGCATGTGTGTCATCAGCTAATTTTGATCAGCTCTACTGTGTTGGATATTTACTCAGCACACCTGTGAGATGGCCTTCTGAATGGTAATGAGAAGGACTTTGTACGTGAGAGTCCTATGCAGATTAGCCAGTGATAACAAGACGCATAATTAATCGCGTGCATATTTAGAAGGGTGGAAGTAATGATTTCCCTCTGGGGTTGGGAGGAAAGACCAGAATATGAAACAAAAATCAGGAATATCAGTTTTCACATTTTGCTGCTGCATGTGTGAGTGCTCGTATAGCAATGGTGCATCTTGAAATACCCTCTTCCCCTGAATTGTGGTGTAGTTTTTACTGTTTAAATTTGTGTCTCTGCAGGGTTTACAGTGCAACTTATGTGGCAGAATCTAAATTAGCATTGTGTCGCTCTTGTTTGACACTAAAACTCCTTAGATGTCCATTGAAATGATCCACATACTTGGGTTCAAAGTATTTCTGTGATTAAAGATATATGATCTATAAAGAATTTTGGTTGTCAGCCATTACAGTCTAAATGGCCCAGAGGAGGCTTTTTGCTTCCACCCAGAGCTTGTTTTAACTGTTGCTTTAAAGAATAAAATTCTTCCCTGGCTGTTGTTTTGATCCAGAGCACAGTTTTGGGATCAGGAGTCAGTTACTGAGCAACTTTTTTTTGGTTGTTGTACTCCAGGGGAGTGTGCAGTATGAACTGAATTACCCTTAGCCCAAGTTAATTGTACGGTGCTCACTTTTCTGTGTCGGTTGATCAATAATTTATATAGTTGCAAAATTACATCAAACACAGTTGCTCACAGAGCTAAGGTTGGCCTTGCAGTGAGAGAATACAGCTTTTGTACAAAGAATGTATCTTGACTTTAATCATATTTTCTGTAGAACAATAGGAAATGCTTTAGAAGAAAATGTCAAAGCTGAGAGGTTACAGACAGAAGAGAACAAATACAATGCAAGTCGGTTATTTTTACTCAAACTAGACCACAATAGTATATGGGGGCGACTGTGGTTCAGTGGGTAGACCAGTAGTCTCCCAACCGGAGGTTCGAATCTTGGTGCCTGCAGTCCACATGTCGAAGTGTCCTTGGGCAAGACACTGAACTCACTCCTTTCCTATTTCTTCCTCCCGAATGTAGTGCAGGTCTAATCCACAGCTGCAGGAAGCGTTTGTTTGAGGTTATTGCTGCTAAAGGAGCTTCAACCAGTTATTAAATCCAAGGGGTTCATTTATCCTTTCACACCAGCACTTTAAATGTTTAATGGCTAGGTTCAATAAAGACATAAAAAAATATAATTGTTTGTGTGGTATTTAGCTTAAGCGAATGGCTTCAGAACAAGAAAATCTGCCATCTGAAGTGACCCAGTCAGAGCCCAGGCCTCGGCCCCACAGAGATGTTGTGGACCTCAGAGATCTGTTCAGCATGTCTGAGCTGAGGCAGTTCTCTGAGGTACACAATTCCTCCCGAATGTAGTGCAGGTCTAATCCACAGCTGCAGGAAGCGTTTGTTTGAGGTTATTGCTGCTAAAGGAGCTTCAACCAGTTATTAAATCCAAGGGGTTCATTTATCCTTTCACACCAGCACTTTAAATGTTTAATGGCTAGGTTCAATAAAGACATAAAAAAACATAATTGTTTGTGTGGTATTTAGCTTAAGCACATAGGGGGATATTTACTAAGGTTTTGCAGCTCGTTTTCTGGCACTAAACAGTGAAATTGCATGTTCGTCTTTACTAAGGAGTTGCAGTCGGTGTTTGTGGTGGAGAAACAGAAGAAATGCGGCACCACAGGTATTTGCGTGTTGCGTTTTTTTCAAATATTTTAAGGTGGTCCCATTCAGGTACACAAAAATTGGGAGGAGAGAATGGAAACTTGTATATAAATCTCAGCTGCGACAGGGAACTGCAGCTGAAATTTAATGTCAGAAGAAAGCAGATGTAAAATTTACTCTTCTCAGCGTGGCAGCTATTACTCATCTGAGACCACTTCTGAGTTAAGAGGAGGGAGAGGGTGTTTGTAAATCACATCGCTCGCCAGAGGAGAATATGAAGGACTTGTACAGGCTTTCAGGTCAAACCATGCTTCATTTACTGAATGAAATAAAAGATGATTTGACTGGCAAGAGACTACGTGATTGAAGTTCTGAAATGCATTTTTTATCAACTTAGTTTCTTCTACACACCCTCTCGGTCCACACATGCACAGCAGCCTTCAGGCAGTAGATCCGAAGCAGAAGTGTATTCAGATTACCACAGCTGTGCCTGTACTCATGCACATCATCAGTGTTGGTAAATATGTTGCTAAATAATATTCCTCATTGTGTTTGTATTAACTGTAACTTAGATGAAGATTAGATCACAGTTTGTGACCGAAGCATGTAGAAGTTCACTTAATTTTTGTCACTATATATATAGAGAGACAGATAAGTAGAGGTGTGTGTGTGTGTGTGTTTGTACTCATCTTTTAATCATGGGGACCTCTTTACAATAGAGGCTCTTTTTTTTTAATGGCCAGTCAGTTCTGGACAGCATTAGCTGAGTATGATTAGTGTTAATTAGCAGTATCTCCACTTCTCCTTTGGCTTGGCAACTGCTCGCCCTGGGAGTGTGTATATTTGTACTGCCTGTGAATTACATTGTCAAATGCTGAAAACTTACATTAGATAATTTGACAGTGTCTCAAATTTAAATTGTCTTGATCATCTTCATACAGTATATGTATATATACACGCACAAATCTGTTTAGTTCACATGAGAGGTTGAAACTCACCCTCAGGTTTTTGTCACAGGTTGTTTTTAGTGTTTAGTTGTCTATGCAAAGGCAAAAGTGCAGTGCATAACTACATTTAGTCCAGGATGTAAAGGATAAAAGATCATTTTTCAAAGCTCAAACTAGGTTGCTGACATCAGCAATTATGCAAAATAAGGGCAAGTAAAGGACTCACCCTTATTCATTCTTGATTGATCATGCCTGGACACAAATCCCAACCAATCTCTTGTTGGCCAGGCTCTGATTGTTGATTGGTGTTGCCTGCAGTAACACTCTAAGACCCCCGCCAATGTATTTGCATTAAGAAGCCCTAACCTCTACTTTCCTCTGCTCATTTTCTTTGCTGTTATGCATTATTTTGCCCTCTACCCTGCAGAAAATGAGTGGCACGGACTACCCACAGCAAACAACCACCGTAATGTTAATCTGACATTAAATGGATGTCTGAGTCTCCATGGCCATGAAAGCAGCAGAGGAGTCACCTGCTACAAACCACTGACAAGCTCAGCTCAATAGCACAGCAACTTTCGGATCACATTGTGCTTGTGTGTGTGTGTGTGTGTGCGCGCACTCTCCCTAGCATAATGGATTTATTTACACTGATTACAATGTCTAGCATTAAACGTTGCAGTTCAGGAGATATATTCAGCTAGTCAAGCCTCATACACAGTGATATTGCATAGTGAAGTCGCAGTGAACTGCAGTTAGGATGTGAATATCCTTTATTTTCTGCACTTTCACCTTGAGAAACCAACCATGAAGTCACGGTCACTGTGTTCCTTAACACACACCCACATATTGTTGCTTTTGATTTTTTTCCCCCTTGTTGCTTGTCCATCTGGCGGACCACAAGCATCCATAGGCGCAGTAAACACACAGCAAAATTCCCCTATTACTTTCTGCAAACAAGTAATGGCACCGTATCCTTATGCCTAACACACACAGATGAAAGATAAAATGTAATGCACAGCTCATTTATCCCCATATATTTAACCCAGTAAAGCCCTCAGATACTTAATATACATTTTAACTACCCAATAAGCTAACTGTTTTATCAACAAAGCTACATTATCCTTTGGCATGATTAGAAACTGAGGTGTCTTGCTGTGGTTGGATTTTAAGGAACAGAAGCAGGTGTGGGTGGATGATGGAGAGGTGCAGGGTCCTGTGTAGATTTTTACACCTTGATAATGCCGTGTCTCAAAAACCTGGATCTACAGTATGAATACTATTTAACTTGCACCTGTTGGAGGTAGTTGCACAATAAAGAAAACACTGGATTAAGGATACACTTTGGTGTTCCATTTTTAGTAAATGAGGTTGAGGGGCTGTTTTAAATTTTT